AGTCTTCGCTTGTTTGGCTATTTTGTTGGTCTAACGGGCCGCATAGCTGACTCCCTCCTTTGTAGAATCGTCTTCATTTGCTGCGTGCACGCGCCCAGAATAAAATTCACGCCCTGCTCCGCGAATTTCACACCACAGATGCAGATACATGACCGATTTATCTCCAATAGTTCCAAAATTTTGAATGAGTTCCGGAAACTTTGTTTCGAGCTTCTGCTTTTGAGAAAGCACAATGTATATCCTTCCACATAGCTTGGAGCTTTGTAGAAGAGTAGACTGCAATTTAATCCGAGCAAATACCGTGAAAAAGCGGCAGATCCGACACGAGACTTTCGTACGTATCACAAACTGAGTTAAACGAAGCTGCGATGTCTTGCTAAAAGCGATTACCACCCTCGTCCAACTCTTTTCGCGTTAATTAGTCTTTTGACGAAATAAAACGCTGGAAAAGTTCTTCTGAGAAGATCACATTAATTAGCCGAAACATGCAGTGACGGGTTCTGCGAGTATTATCTGGCTCAGAATTTGAGCTTGCTCTTTTCCCTTGCCGTTGTTTCTCCAGTAGAAGCCTCACAGCCCCTTGGATTCGTCATATGCTTGCAAAATGGCGACATTAACCTCTTTTTTTCTTGACGACAGATAGCGTTCGTGCTGTGCACTCCAGCTTCAGTTGGTCGACCGTCCAGTCGCTGTAGTCTTCTGATGATGGTGGAGGAACCGATCGCTTGCTATCCGGCTTTTGTTTTGCACTCCACTTGCTACTTTCTATAGATGCCACGGTGGTCGGCGTCTTGGGTGGGGATAGAAGTGGAAATGACGCATCTCTCGTAGGGACCGAGTGCAAAGAATAGCTATTCAATCTAGAACAAGCAGAGCTCCGAAGTGCACGGCACCTTGGAACACTTCGTGATGCAATCAGGGCTGGATCTGACCGTCAATGGAGGCTGGCGTATGCGCGATGAGGGTGCACCGCACTACATCGCCATGATGGACCAGACGGTGTACGGCCACCAGCAGACGCTGTTCATTCCGATCACGCACAAGTCGGTGGAGGTGACGATGCTGTTTGGAGATGCTCATGTCCGTACCGACACGTGTACGCAACGCTCCTGGTGCATCCAAAGACGCAGGTGTCTCCGTACCATTCGTATTCAACGCCGAACTGAAGCCCCTGCGGAATACACTGTTCCTGATGAAGCAGAAGGATGCTGACGAGTACGCTGGCAATGTGGTTGGTGGTTCGGAGGAGGATGACGTCGTTGTGTTGGAGAACCAGTTGCTGCGAGCTGAGATCGGGATTCCAATGCTACTGAAGCTTTGCTAGTCGCGCTGGTCGTGTTGTTCGAGAGGCGTTAGCGGTCGTGCAGGACGTGCGGCTTTGTTGGCAAACGCGTTGGCGGGCGAGCAGATCGTGCTGGATGTGTTGTTTCTGAGGTTAAAGACCGCGTTGTCCGCCGTGTTTTCCGAGCCGTTCAGTCTATGATGTCGGTTACTCTGTCCGAGATTGTCACTGCGAGGTAAGATTCATGCTGGTCAAGACTACGGAAACGGTGGTTGGCGCTGTTTGAGACCATGCTGATGAATACTATAGAAATTTGATTGGCTATGCTGCTCTCTGAACCTGGTAAGGAATTGTTTTATTGAGCTCATTCTTTCAAAATCATATGCGGTGTACTCTACCAGCAATCAGTTCTGGATACAGATACAACTCAGTTGTCGACAACTTGTCGTACCTCTCTATGG